ACAAAACAAAAACCTTCATGTACTAGTACTACTGGACAGGTATAGCCTTTACGGCTGAAATTGGAAACACAATATTTTCCCAAGGCCCTATATACGCGTACTTTTTTGTAAACCACTTCAAAATCAGTATATTTTTTATATTGAACTGTTTAACCTGATATTCAGGTGCATTGTTTACAACCCAAAAATTCTGATCAGTAGATATTACACATTTCACTTCCATATTACTTGTACTACATTTTTTCACTATAAAAGAGCTATTAATAGTGAGGTGTTGTTTCTGCTTTCCTGTGTTTCTATGAGAGTGCAGATTCTGTACACTGTATGTGTTTACTCAAACAGTCTGAGTAGCTGAAGTCTAGTCTGCCATATCTACTAACTTGTTCACCTGATTGCATCATATCTTTTGTATTGATAGAGTCTGAACCGACACTATGTGGCTTTTGCCGATCGAGACTGTGACAACTATGTCATCCAGAACCCTGGGTTCTACCACTGGAGAGATGGGGGTGAGAAGCACATCAATGATCCCCTCAGTATTGCAAACTTGCAGGTATGTCCCAGTGTACTTAGAATCTTTTTCCAACTACTTTATGTGACTAAAATGTCTTCAATACTACTGTACATTAAGTTACAAGAGGAATCATTACCTTCACCAAGAGGATATAATTCGGTTTTGGCTGGCATTTGTAAGGTTAACCCAGTAGTTTGCAGCAGTATTAGTGTTTTTTTGTTGTTGTTAGGATGCTGCCAAGAACAAGAACAAGGGTGCCTATGAGAAGTTTAAGGAGTCAACACTGGAAGCTGTTCGAGCCTGCACCCTCCGTGGTCAGTTGGACTTGAAAACTCTGGATGACCCGCTGGATCTATCACTTGTAGAGCCAGCCTCAGAAATTGTCAAGCGATTTGCCACAGGTATTCCTTCCTCCTCTAGCATTTTGTACATTTTTAATATCAGTTTTTCTGAACATCAATTCTGTATTTTCCTCAGACAGGTTTAAAGCAAAGTCGGATACTTGGGGTATTCAACATCAGCTTCCAGGTCTGGTCCACATAAATTGCTGCCCGGTCTGGTTTGAGGGCAGTCATGGTTTTTTTTTGGTATTTCATACAGTGGGGCTAGCTTATCTACATGTATGTGAGGTTGTGCTCCACTCTGTATTCAACTCTGTTTTCTATGACGACATATATAACAACAATCTGATAACAATGATTATCATTACGTTACTAACACGGAATGCTATTAATAAAAAATTAATACAAACCAATAACCAGTTTAACTACTGTCAGTATACAGAACTCGGGTATGAATGTGTGGCAAAATGCTCTGATTGGGTAACTTCAGACGACCTCTCACAAATGATCATTTTTTTAAATATAGAAAAGCTCTACGAGCCTTTTGTTTGAAATTACCGTGACAGACCCTGAAAAATGTATTTCAACTACTGGTAACAGCAAGTCAGCTGCCTGTGAAAATCACCAGCAATTTACATTTTGGGCCAGCTACTTTTGTGTAGTACCGCGTTAGACCCTGAAAATTTCCAATATCTAATTTAACTTTTGTAAAGTCTGACACTAATTCAGTCTTTTGACTGCTACATGTATGTCAGATTGTGTTGAGTTTCTTCTAATAAACCAATCATCATCAACGTATAAGATAAAAGTATAATATAATGTATAAGTATAAAATAAGTATAATATAACATAATAATATGATAAGTTAACTTAATATTTTCCCAAGAGATTTGCTAAATTATGCACTTGTTTACTAGAATGTCATTATGTAGTCATGTAGAAAACAGCATGGGAAATGTGAGGAGGGGGGGTGCAATTGCACTACAATGTAGAAACCCCCCAAAACCAGCCTCAGACCAGATTGGGCAGCAGTTTATACGGACCGGGCAGCTGATTCGGAATACCTGAGTATTTGTGATTGAGAATACACTATGACCCCAGGTTTTTCTTTACAGACGTACAGCCTGGCACCCATATTAACATCAGCAGCTCTACTACATGTACGTTCAGTGGAGCCTCGGTAGCCTGGGTGCCATGGGTGCTGTCCTCTGTATTATGAGTAACCACTGCCTGGTTTCCATCCACCATGGACGACACAGGATTTTTCTTGGAGAGCAGGCAAAAATCAATGTGCATGTGGATTCTATCCATAAGATCGAATTAATCAATATGGTCTAATAAGGAAAAAAATTGATATTTACTGTAGGTGCCATGAGCTTCGGCAGCATCTCCATAGAGACCCACACCACTCTTGCAAAGGCTATGAACAGGGTGGGAGCCAAGAGCAATACCGGGGAGGGGGGTGAGAACCCTGAACGGTACCAGGACCAGCCCATAGACAACAGCACCAGGTCAGCTATCAAACAGGTATGTGGATTTGGAAATGTACTTTAAGCTTATAGACCACAGTCAAACTTGTCCAAGACGACCACACATGCAGGGGACTGAGGAAATGTAGTGGTCCTCTTACACAAAAAGCATGGCAGCAAGATAACACAGAGAACAAAAAACCTGCAGCAGTGGAGTACCCCAGTGACCAAAAATGACCCAGTTGGGGGCCATTTTACATTGCATATCAACTGACTGTTTCCATCAACATTTCTCTATTATTATCAATAAACATTTTCTGCCACACGCTTAAAAATGATAATATGGTCGTCATAGGCAGAGATTTGGCCATGTGTGGTCCCAAATAGTGCCAGTCACTGTCGCATTGACAAGTGGCTGGCTTAGGTAAGTCCCTTCATGCAATGGAGGACAAAATTTGCAGGACCGAGGAAAAGTGGTTAGATGGCCGGCTTTTACAGGTGGTCCTTTGGGTAAGTTTGACTGTACATTGTATATCTTTCTTCTGTAATGATTCTGCTCTAACTGCAGTTTTGATGCTGTTACTAGTACTGTGAGATGGTCTTTCTATGGAAACACCCATCAGTATAATTCTATTTATACGTGTACATGTAATCTTTTTTAAAGGACAAAATTTATAGGAATACACTAGAGAAGTAAGGAAAAATGAAAGAATGTCTGGATTCCACTTACAGGTTGCCTCAGGGAGGTTTGGAGTGACTAGCGACTACTTGGCACACTCTGATGACCTCCAGATCAAAATGGCCCAGGGAGCAAAACCTGGAGAGGGAGGGGAACTTCCTGGTCACAAGGTGTCCAAAGACATCGCCAAAACTCGTAAATCAGTCCCGGGTGTTGGACTTATCCAGCCCCCCACCCCATCATGACATCTACTCCATTGAAGATCTGGCTGAGCTCATCTACGACCTGAAGGCGGCCAACCCACGCGCCCGCATCAGTGTCAAGCTGGTGTCAGAAGTGGGAGTGGGAGTGATTGCTGCTGGTGTTGCCAAGGGAAAAGCGGAACATATCACGATTTCTGGTCATGATGGGGGAACTGGAGCGAGCAGCTGGACAGGTGTGAAGCATGCCGGGTTGCCATGGGAACTGGGAATCGCTGAGACCCACCAGACACTGGTCATGAATGACCTGCGGTCAAGGGTATGCCTACAGACTGATGGACAGATAAGGACAGGTTAGTACGGTTAGGTTTTCATTTTTTGTTGTTACCTTAGCAGCAGAATTAAGTCTGTATACATACATAGCCTCTCAACCATGGTTGGAAGAACATTGTACATGTAGGTTGGGAGCAAAGGGCGGCTGTGGTTGGCTGCTGGTTGGCGAGTTTAGCTTGAATGCCAAATGTTTAGAAATGTTTGATACATTTGTTGGTAGTGGACGGGAGGTTGGGAAACAGTCGGCGACTGGTTGGCTGGTGGTTGGAACAAAGCTTTGGTTCAGGGTATGGCTGGGGTTCATATTAGACTTCCAACCACACCACAGTCACTGCAAATCACTCTATGAAATCAGTTCCCAACTTATTTTGTACCAATGCCTTTGACAGATCCCTACTAATTCCTTTAGGGACTACGAGGAGTGTGCCAACCAACCAGCACACAGCCACCAACACAGAAGAACTGTGAAAGCTGTGTTGAGGCTACATGTAACTTTGACCCCTTTGTGATCTCTCCGGGATGTTTACATAGACATACAGATTTAATTTTGATAAAAATGAAATAGAATAGACCCCAGACCTTATTATTATCATTTAAAATTTTTTAGCACATTGATAAGAAAAACAACAAAGGAGTTGCACAAGATAGGGGATCAGTCAAGAGGGAGGCAGCTAATATACCAAACTATCACCTTCCACACTGGTTTTCCAGTGCTGATGCATGCAGCAGTCAAAACTGCACCAGTATGGAATTCCAGTGCTGAACGTTCTCTCAGCACTCAGTCTCCAGTGCTGATCTCCTTTCAGCACTGGTGTTCCAGTGCCAAATTCTTTCAGCGTCAGAGCACTGGTACATGTACCTGTAACTGATAACGAGCAAGTACATGTACTAGTAAAATGAATCATGAACAACTTTATTTCTGATTTTGACCATGAAAGATATATACATGTAATGCCATTTGTTCTGGTATTCCAGTGCTGAGAAAGAAGGGTTTTACTTCGTGTATTGTGTACTTTGTTGTGAAATGGTTAGGACATGGTCACTGCGAAAGATAGTGAATTTAGTGTGGCCAGAATCTGGTTCTGAAAATTGCTTCCAATCTACTAAATGTACCAACTTTGGTTGGTGATCTGGGGCAAGGTCAAGGGGAGGCTCTAAATGTGTGACACACACATCAGGGGCTTTCATATACATGTTTTTTTTTAAATTCAAGGTCGAGATGTAGTGATCGGAGGTCTGCTGGGTGCAGATGAGTTTGGCTTCTCCACTGCTCCTCTCATCACCTTGGGATGTACCATGATGAGGAAGTGTCACCTCAACACCTGTCCTGTGGGTGTAGCAACACAGGTACATGTACATGGTTATGTTAGCATGTTGACAGGTAAACAGGTAATGTACATGTATGTGTATCTGTATAGCCGGTATAACTGCCATTTGTAGTAACACACCATGCCAGCTTCGCGGACACGGCATGACGACAGCTGGCTATATTACACCAAACGACTTGTTACACCTAGCCTTTGGACATCTAACTCTTAACATAGTTAATAAATAAAAGCTATCTCGTGAGGATGCCCCTACTGTACTTGTTGGCGCTGAAACATCAGTGCTGAACTCTAACCTCCTGACCACATTGTGTTTGATTTACATTTAATTATTTATAGTGATTCTGATTCACGCTCAGCTGGTTACATGTATAATATTGTAATTCTATGTTGTTCTTTGTTTATTGTTTTTCGTCTATCAATTTCTCTAATTTCATTTCTTTGTTACTTTCTCTTTAAAATACACCTAGGTATGCCTAAAAAGCAGTGTGGCAAGCACTGAGCGCATCTGTTTAAACACGACAGACTAAACTAGAAAGGCCAACATTTGATTAGGAGCAAATGCAGCGTATTTCACCCATTCTTCCTCACATTCCAAAATAGACAATTCCACATCAACAGTGTTCGAAATACCAGGTTGTGCAGTTGCGCCGTGCAATATAATTTCCTTGTGCTCAAGTTGCTCCCCAGACTCAGGTTGTCCACCACATTTTCTGCTGAAAATACCTACCTCTGGACTCAAAGATCATAAAAAATCCCGACCGCATGAACATTACGCTATTGGCAGTGGCACAAAAGAATAAATTTTTCCCAGTATAAATGTTACTCATGAAAATAACATGAAGATAACTTTGTTTCCCTAATGTAATATGAGTTTTGGTCTGTAAAATGTTTCAATGGCAGAAATTTGTCCATGTATATGTATATTCTTAAAAGAGTCATTACACAAGAAAACCAGGCAGAGGTCAGAAGATGGGGGTTGGCCAAATCGGCTTTGTTACATTGTACGTTGTTATGTGATAGTTAGGAGGAACTATGAATAGCCATATACTAGTAGTTAAAACCCTCCAGTTATCTTTCGTTACAGAGTTCTGGGATCCCCCTTAGAGACCCTTGAAAAACAAACCATCTACTCTCACCTCTCGATTAAACGCACTGGTACGTTTATTTTTTTTCGCCTCAAAATCCACCCGGTACATTTTTAGATGGTACGTTTATTTCTTTTTTCATAATCGGAAAAGTTCCGGGAAAATTTGCGGTCCTGAGCGTAAAATGACAAAAAAGACACCACTTCTCCCAGCCGACAGCACAATAAAAATGTCCCGTTACGTTCTATTTTGGACGGTACGTTTACTAAGTTTTCAAAATCAGGGCAAGTCTTACAACATATTACCTCCCTTTTACATGTAAATTATATCTGGGAGCACGTATTGTGTCGGAAATATGAACTATAACGGGCGTTATGTAAAGAAAAATTGGCGAAATTTGCAACATTGTTCACGCATCACGCACACACATCTCACTCAAAACTCCTTGCTCAAAACGATCTTTTTCTTGGGACTATGTTAAAATAATACCACATAAAAATGTATTCTAGCAATCACAAACTGTAATACTCTCAAAAAGTCGAAAATCCTACCACAAACATGAAAATTTAGCGCTGGAAAAAGTCCTCAATGCAGTGAAATACGTAAACATGCAGTTCTCACGCACAATCGGCAGAACTCACTTCTAGTAGGGGGGAGGACAATTCTTTATAATTGTAGATAAAACTCTTTCTCAAAAATAGACATATGCAAGTTGCATTTAACAAAGCTAATCATCATGTAAAAGACCAAAAACAGGAGTATAATTGCAGTCTAACGTATGAACTATCAAAAAGAAATATTTTCAAGAAAATGTTTCCCCCTGCAAATAGAATGCCTCAGTTTTCTAAGAACTGAGTTCCAAACTTGAAGCCCCGCCCCTACTCATTTGCATACCTCAGTGGGCACACTTCAAAGCTAGCAAGGTAACATAAAACCCTTGACTGAGGACAAGTTGTGAAATGTAATGTGTTACAATGTTGCCATTTGTTTGAACTATGATCATTATGATGTAGCATTGATCATTTACTTTTGTAAAAAGGGAAATAATGCAATGCATAAATGGAAATTTGGGAAAGATAAATAAGAAAATTCATGTTTAACATTAAATACTTGTAGATGATTATAAATTCTTTGGCTTTTACAAACTAGTAGTACATGTATTACAATTTGTATAGAGCATATGTTAAGCATATGTTCAACTTCATTAGCTCAAATCTTACTGATAGTTATCAAGCTTTAAAAAAATCAAGTCTTATTTAAAAACTTGATATTACTGTCCCTGCTGATGTATGATACAGTATGCAATGCAATGATCAACAACAGAGCTAGAATATTGATGTATGACAGAGTCAAATATATATTACACTGCAAGTGATACATTATACATATACTCCTCAAAAACCTGTAAGAATATGGGCTGTTAATTTAGTAATTTTCCAGGGGGTTACATTTATTTCGGGGGTATATTTATAAAGGTTTGAAGATTTGTTGGGGGAATCATATTCAAGGGGGTATGTTTATTCAGGACCTGTCAAAAATTGCAAGTGACAAGGTCATACAGATGCACATATATATACAGTGTATATACACCATGAGAACACATTTTTGGAGCATAGACGTTGCTTACATGTCGATTTTTAAATTTTCCAGGGGGTACTTTTATTCCAGGGGGTATTTTTATTAGATTTTGAAGATTTGTCCGGGGGGTACTTCTATTCCAGGGGGTACTTTTATTCGAGAGGTGAGAGTATGGCTGAAATTTACTGAATTTGCAATGGATACCATAAAGATTTAACCTTTAAGTAACTTACACATGTCACAAGGTATAAAATTCCCATCATTCACCAATAAGGAGTCACAGAATTTTCACATTAATTATGCAAATTAGGTCATCATTTGCATAATTGGTATCTGTTGATGTTCCGCCTGCCAGAGATTAAATAGATTACATGTATACTCGGCTATTCCGAGATCAGGGTGCGCCAATGGCATCGTGCATCGTTATGTCAATCTTACTCTGTATTTATCGCATTCTGTTGACATTTATCAAACTTGTTATACTAGTACAGTTATTTTCCAGACAATCAGGAAGAGATTTGGTGTTAAGATGTTTAAAACTTATGCTATGGCCAATTTAAGACCAGAAATTGGCATAAAATCTACGTTATGCTGTTGCACTTGAAAAATGCCAGTTTTTTAAATATGCTTTTAAGTAATTTGGGAACAAAAAAATGGAATGAAAAGATTTGCAAACATGTTCAGACATGGTCAGTCTGATATTTTTTGAAAAAAACCTGATGATGATTGGAAATTTCTCTTTTCTAGAGTGCATTTATCAATATGTTGTACACGTTATGTAAAATTCATAAATTAACACATTGCAATTAACTTATCTCCCTGTACTAAAAAGGATGGTGATAGAACTGGTCATTTTGCAGGTACATCCATATATGACACAAAACATGTGTTTTTATGTTGCTTGTCCTTTGGGTTAATATGGCTGATGGCTTACAGTTACCTGTCTTTTTTGTCCCAGAAAATGTGTAGTGTCCGTTGCTCGGTAATAACTTAAAATAGAAAAGCTGTGGGTGCATATGATTTCAGGTTTTGAAACAGCTGAAGGTGCTGACTTAAAACACAGTAGCTATTTCAGTCTATTGCTGTAATTATATGAAATAATGTCAAAAAACCTCAAGGGTGTAGTGTCCGTTGCCATGTAGTGTCCGTTGCCAAGTATACCATATAGGTACATTAATTACATTTTGTTGCAATTTTGAAGTAATTTTGTCATTTATGTTATTTCTGTAGCATTTTGTCAACCCCTAAATGACAGGTCTTGCAAGATTTGGTGTTCTTGTCATGTACTTGAGCGGCCAGATGTGGCCGCTTAGCTGTAGCGGCCAGCTTAGCTGTAGTGTCCGTTGCCAGCCACATCTGAAATGAGTGGGCTAAGTTTGGAAGAGCACAACTTTTGAACCAAACGTCTCTATCCAAAAATTTAAAAAGTGCAATGTATGGCAACACTTTCTGCACTGAAAGTAGAAAAATATAAAACTTGAAAAATTGGCCCAAGTGCAACCCTTTGGCGCACCCTGATCTCGGAATAGCTGACTGTAAAAGTACTATTGTATAAAACAATGTAATTATAGAAGTTCCTCCTTAATTATGGAAATGAAGTCCTCATTTGCATAATTGCATTTAATCATGTACAACTCTCAGCTACCTACACACCAAAAATGAGGAAAATACGCTGTTCCTACATGTATATTAATGTTGTTTCCTGTACAGGACCCAGTGTTAAGAGCCAAGTTTGCAGGGAAGCCTGAATATCTGGTAAACTATCTGTTCTACCTGGCTGAAGAGGTGCGTGACTTGATGGCCAAGGTGGGGTTCCGAACCTTTCAGGAGCTTATTGGTCGCACAGACATGCTCAAAATGGTGGAGAAGCCGATGAATGAAAAATCGGCATTGTTGGATTTCGAGCCTATCCTCAAAAATGCACTTGACCTGCGACCTGGCATCAACATTGTGGCAGGCAGCATTCAGCAGGACTTTCAACAAGAGAAGAGACTGGTGGGTGGATGATATCTGTTCTGCAGAGTCCTATGCCTTAAAGGGATACAGTTCAATTGTCCGCAGGGCGGTAAAACAAACAAAAAATGTTCAGGATGAGGAAATCTTTCTGATAATTATTGATATTTCCTGCTATTTTTTTGCACATTTATACGTACAAAGTCTTCAAATGTTTCGAATACCCCACACTACATGAGGAGTACCACACTTTTTTGAGGGGTACCGCCCATAAGTAGCTGGAACCAGCCTACAATACAAAACAAGCAACAGTCCGTCATGACATAGCAATTTTGCCTCACAGCTGTCAGTATGCTATGGGATAGGGTTGATTTTAATTACAAATTAAAAGAATGGCCAGGAAATTGACACTGAAAAATATATCGCAGTTTTGCCGCCCTGAAGTTGCATTGGATGCTATTAACCCTTATTACTCTCTCAGCTACACGTATTACATGTACCTGCAAATGTAAAACAGGTAACCAGCGACAATTATAGGGAGCCTGCGGTAGGATGGCACCCAGGCAAGTTGTCAGTAATAATTGGTTTTGTGTTTTTGTTTTAAGGATAACAAACTTGTTGAGGAGGCCAGTGATGTTCTGGAGGGGAAGAAGCCCACAGTTGACATCCGAATGGACATCCAGAATGAAGCCAGGGCATTTGCCAGCACCTTGAGCTACAACGTCTCCATGTGAGCAAAACACTTTACTTCCACATGTTATGAAACCAAGTTGGCCTCAAGAAAATTGTTGAGACAGTCACACTTGCCCAAGCAACCTCTATAAGCTGAACATCTGACCCTATAGATGTAAGCACTAAGGGACTTATGCCTAATACAGTACATTTAAGCCGACCACTTGTCCAACGTGACTGCAACCGGTAATATTTGGGGTCTGCAAATCTCTGCCTATATGATGGCAGAGTGTCAATTTCAAGCGTGTGGCTGGAAACGTTTGCTGATAAGAAATCTTGATAAATAAAATTGGCCAGTTTGCCAGTGATTTTGACAATAGATAGTCCTTGCATGCAAAAGTAAAATGGCACTAGCTGATTGAGTGACAGTCTATTGCTACAGGTTTCTTGTTCTCTATCTTGTCGCTATGATTTTGCATAAGAAGACCATTTCCTCGGTCCCCTGGGTGTTCATCTAAGACAATTTTATTTTAGGCTTGACACGTCTGATAATGAATTAAAATATTGCAGGAGCCAAAAGCTTGGACAACTACATGTATGATATTACCTAATACCTAATACAATAATAGTCATTATGTTGTCGTGACCAATTGGTCAGCTTGAAGAGGTGGTCTCTTTGGCATGATTGACTGCATGGTCTCTAGAACAAACATGGGAGAGACATGTTTGAATATTCAGTGTGACAGGCTGAAAACTACATGTATGCAGCTCCAGATGTCTAACTGATGAGAGACAACTGCAGTGTGACCTGACATTGAGGTGTCTCTGTCCACAGGAAGTATGGTGAGAAGGGTCTTCCAGCAGGCAGCATCAACATCTACCTGAAGGGCTCAGCTGGGCAGAGCTTCTGTGCCTTTTTGGCACATGGGGTTCGTGTGGAGCTGGAGGGAGATGCCAATGACTATGTGGGAAAGGTAAAATGGCTTCTTTTTAGCTACAGTTATGTTGAACTAAGATCATATCCAGTGTTCTAGCCAGGGTTTGTCTTTCTGTCATTAGGCCACACCAATTTAATTTGTTAGACTAAGACTCCGATTTTTTCATAAAAAATATGAAGCGACAGGGTGAAAAAAGAAACAGGTGTACATGTACATGTAGGCATCCTATTATAGCCCCAAATGCTACGATAGGAGCCGTGAAGTCAACACAAAAGGCTGGGTTAATATTTAAACAATGAATTTTGAACTTTCAATCAAACCACTGCATTGATGGAAAAACTGTAACAACAAGAAAAAGGACTTTCCGCAACTGATGGGGCAAAATATGAGCTTGAGTTGATTCAGAACCAGAATCTTTTTTTTTTTGCAAATCAGAAAAAATGATTTTATTAAATTGGTGTGGCCTTATACATTTGTACAGAATTTTATTACTCAAGGTGAACTAAAATTTTGGCCAATCCGTGATTATTCATGTCATGCCTGTTTCAGAACAAAAATTGATATAGAAATGTAGATGTCATTTTTACTAAGCTTTGTCTACTAGCAAATTTGTCTGTCAAAATATGCAGTAAATAGCATTTCAGAGGATTGAGATCTCAAAATTTTTCCTACATGTAGCTACGATTGGCACAATTCTCAAAATTGAGATGATGGAAAAAAATTTCAGGCTGGCCAGAACACTAATCATACCCCATTTGCAATTTAACAAAATTGCACATAATCATTACCTTAGACATGCTATGGTAGGTATATTGTAACTCATATAATTCAGGCAAATATATGTCAATGAGAAACATAATTCGTCAGTTGTAAGGTAAACATAATTTGGGGATGGTACGAGGTCATGGAACTCGTGTTGGCAATTGTTTTGCTGACAAATGGAAATAAACTGTGAACTAAAATCTTGTTTTGGGTGATTCGGAATGAATGATTATAGCTAGTGTTAAGATTAAAAGAGGAAAGACATAGTTTTGTTGTTATTCTGCAGGGCCTGTCAGGAGGAGAGGTGGTTATCTATCCCCCATGTAGTCTCCCTGAGGATTTTGTCTCCACAGACAACATCATTGTTGGTAATGTTGTACTGTATGGAGCCACATCGGGCAAGGCCTTCTTCAGAGGACAAGCTGCTGAACGCTTCTGTGTCAGGAATTCTGGGGCGACAGCTGTTTGTGAGGTAGGTTTCGAAAACTCAAGTCATTTTCTTTGTAAGGCTATGATGTTGATTTGATGATATGGATGACATCCTCTGGGAATCCCAAAACTTCACGTCCCGTCAATAAAAAAAAAGTGTGGCCAAAAAAAAGTTGCCTTGCAAATACCAAATTCTGGTAGAAACCGCATTTACAGTTACTGTTACAGTTACTGTAATACAATGTATAATAAAAGCTTCAAGTTAGTAGTTCAGTGCTTGGTCTGACTCCTACAATGATATGTTTTTCTCTGGAAGTTGAACACGTAACACATCTGCACTGCAAACCGTAGCTGTGGCGACTCTTTAGTCGGGCGTATTGCATAACCCTTGGCAAGAGCCGTGGAAAGCTGCAGTGGCAGAACCAAACATTTCCCGTTGGCTTCGTGCTGATCCATTTTCGCCCCATTTTTTTAGCGTCCCAAGCTTCCCTACAATTTTACCCCACAGTTTGTCGGGTTGGCGATGTTTAGATCCCCCTAAATATTCCGCAGCGTGAACAAATCTGACAAGTACTGTTGGCCACACTACCGGGCAGCCATCTTTGTTTGCATGTTCGGGCCGCTGTTAAAAGAAAACCTACTAGTATCATTTTCATGTCGTTTTCCCTAATTTTGCCCCAAACGGGTATAGTACTTTGAGTCTCTATATCATGTTAATTCTCCAGGGTTGTGGAGACCATGGGTGTGAGTACATGACAGGAGGGAGGGTCATCATCCTGGGACTGACCGGCAGGAACTTTGCAGCAGGCATGTCAGGAGGGCTGGCCTATGTACTAGACACGTAAGTACTTCCTATCAATTCTGTCAGTAAATATTGTAACATTGCAGCTTGCAATGGAAAATTTTTTCAACCAATCCGTCAACCTTGACAGAAAAAAAAGGACAAAATCTTGGAGAATGTCTGTTACAGTATAAAAAAATTCCCAAAAGAAAGAAATGAGAATTCTTGAGAATGCCTAGTGTCTGGTAGCTTTTATATAGACATTTTTGGCTCTACTAGTGATGTTAACTTTAGTGAAAACACTGCGTCCCTACAGCGAAAAAACATTCCGGACCAAATGTAACCTAGAGCAGGTCTCACTGGACCCTGTGGAGGAAGGAGAAGATGTCAGATTTCTCCAGGACACCATCAAGGAGTTCCATGAAGTCACAGGTTCTGTCATTGCCCAGAGTGTGCTTCAGAACTGGGCTGCTTACCAGCCTCAGTTTGTCAAGGTTGGTACTCATCATGGCTGAGAAAATATAGAATAAGGTTTCAATGGACCTATACCATTATTTCGTCACAGTTTGTTTACCGCAATGAATGCCGGTCAATCGACGTCTATATTGTGCAGGGGTGCGTAGCACAGTGTGTGTTAGCCTTAATATAAGGCTTTTAATACAGTACTACTTTCGTCTAACGTCACAACTAGATCACCCATGCGGCATGTAATGCTGTGTCAACACAATTAGACGCAGCAAAAATCAGACATACCTTACTTTGAAATGATCTGTATTCTTTAACTGATCGTTCTAGAATGTTCTTTAGAACAGGTAAACAAACTGTGACGTAATAATGGTATAGGTCCATTGAGTTTAATACCTTTCTTTGGAAAAGTTATTTTACAAACACCTGTACTTCTGGTGGTGAAAGCAACAGATCTAACACCCGGCTTCACTTATCTTTATAATTTATGTATCAAGGACTAGCAGGCTATGGAACTCACCATCAGTATGAATAAATAAATACCTTTTCTTTATTCTTGAATGGTAGTTCGGCCAACAGGCTGCTTTTCAACAAGGTCGAGAAGGGTTGGGGTGACAGATCAAAATTGATAAATGATATAAGAGAGATAAGTATCAGCCTCAGTTGAACTCTTTCAAGACTGCAGTTACTAGAGTCTTCTTGGACTCATAGATCACTGCACTGTATATTGTACTTGATTTATACATGTTTATTTATTGTTTATTTATTGTGTCACTGAGGAAATGACAATGTGATGTTTAATCAAATTAATTTGAGGTGAATTGATGTTACATAATCAATTGAGCCAAACTTCAATTGTTTTATATGATGTCACCATCAGGCTCATCACACTGCATTAATTTCGATTTTAAAAAACTGTTCTCAATCTGTGCACCACTACAGATATTTCCCCACGAGTATCGTAAGGCACTGGAAAAGCTGAAAGAGGAGGAAGCCATGCAGGTTGTTGTTAATGATGACAACAAGCTGGTGAATGGTACCAATGGCAATGGAGCACCAGAAAAGGGTGTGCAGGAATCTCCTGAGGCTAGGAAGAAGCCCAAGATGGAGCCTGGAGTTTTAGACATTGAGGACACCATCCCAGATGCCGAGATGGACACCAAGAACCAGAAGAGGGTTATGGAGAAGTTGGACAAGGTTCGAGGCTTTGTGAAGTATGAGAGGAACACAGAGGCCTACCGCAATGTCAAACAGAGGCTCAACGATTGGAAGGAGATCTATAACCACAAGGGTGTACGCTCCCAACTCAAGGTGCAAGCAGCGAGGTAATATTAGCCAACAGTGGAAAGTTTTGTCTTGATGCAATTTATCACGTTTCTTCTTTTTGACTATTAACTTGGCCTGGATGTGTCAGTTTGTTGCACAATTATCATGTATTACGATGATTATGGTCATGATTGAATGCGCATTGTCTTAGTTTTTGTTATACTTAAGGCCACAGTTTTTTAATATGAGTTATTTTGCATCTGTTGCTATTTATCCTTATTCGATTGTATTGAATTTAACATTGTGTTCACCACTATGTACAATGTATGTCTGAAATATGTACTAATACTATGTTGTCATGGTATCAGCTGGTAGCTAGTGCAATGTTGATAAGGCCACACTGACTTGATATTAAGGTTGACATCCTCTGGAGGCCCTAAAACTAATGCTAGAGGGCAAAAGAAAACATTCAGCCAGAAAAAATGCTGCTAAGCTTAGCTGGTACATAAAGTGTGAATTTTTTGTTAGTACAATCATATAACAACAAGCTGGCATTTACTGGGCTTTGTGACATTTATGAACCAGAACACTACTTACACATGTAGTTCTGAAGTCCTGTACATGTGGAGCCTTGGTAGCTGGTTGCCGTCCTCCGTAGTTACTGCCGGCTCCCATTTGTCGCTGGCTACCATGGACTATGAAGGACGGCACCTAGGTTTGAGCCCCAGACTCTAGTCAGAGGAGGTGATTTTATTTCTATGTAAATGAGAACAGGCAAAAATCAATCTGCACTTGGATGTCATCCATAAACTTTAAGTTAAATCAGTGTGGCCTAAAATGAAAGATTTGAATCTATCATTTTTTTGTTGGAGGGGGCACCATGTGGAAACATGTCATTGAATTTCTGCCTCACAGATGCATGGACTGTGGAGTTCCCTTCTGCCAGTCTCACAGTGGCTGTCCATTGGGCAATGTCATCCCCAAGTGGAACGACCTGGTCTTCCATGTAAGTCAATCCCAGACAATCCCAGACAAAATTCTTGGGATCTAACAATTAGATTAATTTTTTAGAAATAAATCTGGCAAAAAGTCACAAAACATAATACTATCCATATTATACATATATTAGAAAGACTACTGTAACAGTTGTAATGTGTACATAGAACTTGTTTGATGTACCCCTTTTGTTGAGGAAGAATTGGAGAGAGATTTGTATTTAATCACTACTTCTTCAGCTCTGTCTTGTTTCAAGGGACTGCTATGTAGCATTACTTATTAACCTTGAAGTTTTTTTATAGCGTGCTTTTGTATTATGAATATGATTGATCACCCAACTTTTCTGAAATTAAAGCAGTGTGGTATGCTACATTTACTATGAATGTCGATACAGTAGTGTTGTTTAAATGTAGTATGTAAATATAATTATTAATTCAGAGACTAGAACATCGACTTTGAAAATCTGGTTTTGAAGCACTGTTATATCAAATATAATTATGTGCATTAGGCACTATTCGGAAAATTCCATAATGGAATGGTTAATGTTGCGATAGTCTACATGTATATGTGGGTAAAAGTTACTTTTGGATTACTAAAAAATTGAGATAGTCCATTTTGGTATCAGGAGGGAGATGAGCGTATTTGCTTACAAATGTTGGCCTCTCTAGTTTAACGTTTGGCCCTTGCCTCATCCATCAACATTACGAGTTGAGTTTTCATTTGAATAAAGGCACAAACAAACAAACAATTTGTACGTGAATTTCTACAGGACCAGTGGAAGGAGGCACTGGACCGGCTGCTCCAGACAAACAACTTCCCAGAATTCACTGGGAGGGTCTGCCCTGCCCCTTGTGAGGTCAGTACCCGTCTTACTAACCTGAGATTTTGGTATGTTTGATCTAGAGTTCTACATGTTGAATGTTCAAAAGAAGTAAAGAAAAATTTAACAGTTTTGGCTTGAAATTGTCTATCTTAGTTAGATAAATTGACAGATGAATTTACACTACAGATAATTTAAGGTGAACTAACATCATTTTAATACATATACAATGTACCTATTGAGAATATCATACAGAGAAGATGTATGGCAGGAGCATTGTTAATCACAGTAACTGTTGTTGAATTCATTTGCGATCACATTTTTGCCATTAAGTCAGTAGCTCAGTCCTGAGGGCTCTATCCAGCTTGAACTTTTTTCTGCCAGCCCAAGTTCATGATCGGATCGCTCTCTGGGAAATTTTGGATTTTCAAGCCTTTAAAAATGCAATTTCCCACATTTTGAGAGGAAAATCATGGAGTTGAGAGTGGTTTTTGTATTTCTACACAAGATATATATCGATTATTTGTTAAAAAATTTTTTCAAGTATTAAACTAACTGCAATTGATGGAAAACGGGTGCTAGCTACAATTGAAGTGGTTTAATTCCTCTTCCTGTTTCTAGGGTGCCTGTGTTTTGGGGATTAATGCCAAACCTGTGACGATCAAAAATATCGAGTGTGCAATCATCGACCATGCATTCGAGCAGGGCTGGATGTTGCCCCACCAGTACCCGTCTACTGGGAAGAAAGTGGCCATTGTTGGAAGTGGTCCGGCTGGCCTGGCTGCAGCTGCACAGCTGTGTAAGGTAAGGAATCGAAAAAAAACTAAATAAGGATGTTTTTGTTTGTTTTGAATAACTTCTTTAAAGCATAACAAACAAAGTGTTTTTCAAGTGTCATCAGTGGTCTATTAATGCCGGTAGTTAGAATTTGTTAATGTACACAGCGCTACTAACTTTTAGGTATATTAACTAATCCTTACCACTTTGAGTTTGAGCTGCTAACTGTTAGTGCCATCAGGGCCATCTCGAAAGTGCTACATGTAACTTTCTTATAAAACTGTGGGTAAATTTGAAGTTGGCATTGTTATTTAGAATGTTGATTATATTGACATGAATTAATGAAACATGAATGTGATATCAGGACCTTACTTTTGCCTGTGCAGGCTGGACACCATGTGACAGTGTATGAGAGAAATGATCAGATTGGTGGACTGTTGCGCTACGGTATCCCGACCATGAAACTGAGCAAGGAGGTGAGCTTGTATTATAGTCTCAATATATGAATAATCTAAAACTATGATGTTAGACAAACAATAGCCAGCAAATGGGCTGACTTAAGTCAATTCTAATGTAATTACTAATCGGACCTTAAAGCATATGGAGACGGAAGAACATAATTAGCTGAAACTCAGGTTTATCGTAACGTTAGGGCTAGCAAAGTGCTGGCTTTAGTGAACCCTGTTGGGAGAAAGGCTGACCTCAATACATATGGAGACTGTCAGACACAAGAACTGCTTTTAGGTATGGATCAGCTATTCATGCAACAGCAGATACATGTAAATGACTGGAGATTGATTTTCAGAACAAGCATAAACCATGGCAGATCAAATACACAAGATACCATGCATGACTGGAGCACAGGTACACGAGAAGTGAGGCCTGGACACACCTGAACCTTGAGCTGACATCAGATAAAAAGCTAATACGACTATGGAGACCACGTGTCTAGCACACAAGTTTAGAGTTAAGGTGCCAAAAAAAATACATAGCCAAAATATATATATCATCGCTGATGTCCACGTTCAAAGTTCAAGGTCCATATATCAAAACCAAAATATCTCATGGAGTGTTGATGTTTACAAAATGTTTTACAGTAATGACTGTAACCTCCATTACCATACTTTCAATGTTTTTCCAGGTGGTCCAACGTAGGGTGGACTTGATGGCTGAGGAGGGTGTGGTCTTTGTTACCAACACACAGATTGGAAAAGATCTGCCAGCAAAGACACTGCTGGACGACAACGATGCAGTCCTTCTGTCTTGTGGAGCCACATGGCCACGTGACCTACCTATTCCAGGTATGTTGGGCTCAATAGAAGAAATTTGAAACTGCAGCACATTGGGCCAATTAAGAATACAGAAAGAAAGACAATATATGATTGATAATTTTTAAAAAGTTTTTTTTTTCATATTATGATACCATTTGGGACTAGTGCAGGATGACTTGTGCCTGTATTTTTTGTCTACACCCTTCCCGGTAATTAATTTTCTCCAAAAATTTGACAACCAACAACTTAAACTGATGGCCATATGAATAAAGAATAGCTTCTTTTTTTTTGCTTTTTTAGCTTTTAACCTTTTGCACTTTATTCAGGCCGGAAACTGCAAGGAATTCACTTTGCCATGAGTTTCCTGGAGAAATGGCAGAAGAAGCAGCATGGAAACACTACCATCAGTCCCATCATGGCCAAGGACAAGGATGTGCTGGTCATTGGAGGTGGAGACACAGGCGTGGACTGTATTGGCACTGCTCTTAGACAGGTCACTTGCCACTTATACTCCTCAAACAAGATATTTAACTAGAAAGGCCAATATTTGCTTTGGAGCAAATACAGCGATGGGTTCACCACATTTTACGACATGGCAGGGAAAGAATGGGAAACACAAGGGAAAACAATGATTTACATTGATATACCTATAATATGAAGTAAAATACAACTAAAACAACAGTTGGATAGCTATTCCCTACTTTATTGGTTAGGATTTTTAATTGCATAATGCAAACTGTTGATTTTCAAAATAAAAAAAAACGTCCATGCCCGGCATTCCAATGCTGGAGCAGGAAAGCTTGAAATACCTACCAAAACACTTGAATACAGACATACT